CACACACACACACACACACACACACACACACACACACACACACACACTTCCTCAACCTTTCTAAGGTACTTGATGTGTGTTCCAGGTATTGGAGCTGCAGAGATCAAAGGCAGGCCCCTGATCTTAAGCTTTATGTGGACTGTAGGGATTATACCTGGGCTCCCCAAGAGTGTAAAATACAGTGACCAGGAGAAACCTAAGGAAGAGCTGACCAACCTTAGAGCATGTCAGAAAGAATTTCCCCAAAGAAAGGAAAACTGCTGAGCCACAAGAAATGCATTGTAAGAGACCAAGAGCACGGGAAACTCCATTCCAGGAAGATAGTGGACATGAAAATGACCAGGGTGAAATGATCATGCAATGTACCATCCGCAGAAAGGATGAATAAACACAGCTTTCCATAGACTGTCCTGGCCAAACACTATGCAGGAGCACAGCCTTTTCTCTGAGAGCAAATGAAGGCACTGGAGACTAGGGGAGCTTTGGCCCAAGCATGAACAAGTAAATTTGTACTTTCCAAAGGACTGTTGTGCTTGGAGCATTCAGCATGGACACAGACTGGGAGGGGAAGGTCAAGGAAACACAAGCTAGGATTCAGCAGTGCTCCAGATAAATGGCAGTAATGACTTGACCTGAGCAGAGGCTTTAGAGACGAAGACAAAGCGACTGAAGATGTTTGTGAATTAAGACTGACGGGATTTGATGACTCAGCAGTCAATAGTGACTAGAAGGACAGAGGCCCAAAGATGGTTCAAGTTTTGCTCTTCAGAAGGTGGGTTTGTAATGGTATTTTGTCAAGGAACCGGAAGGCAGTAGAGGAGCGCTTCCCCTAACCTAGAGGAGTAGGTTATTGCTTCCCCTTGGTAGTTACAGCTGTAGAAACAGTGGAGAAAGTGAAGGTCCACCTGGGGCCAAACACTTAAGAAAAAGAAAGAAGGGAAGAGATAAGAGAAGGCTTTAGGGTAATGCTGATATCTGATGAGGGAAACTAGAAAGGCAGTATTAGGCAGAGGGAAACAAAGGATTGAGGAGGTCACCTCAGTCTGGAACCCTTGAACACAAAGTGCTCTCGAGGGTTCCAGGAAGAGAGTACTAGGACTTGATTAAACACACAAGAGGGAAAGAGGCCCTGGGTGGGCCACAGAACTACTGGGCCTGGACCCATCTCTCCAGTACTGAAAGGTCATTTTCAGAAGCTTGACCGTCAGAGACAGACACTTTAAATACTGGTGTGTTCTCCAATATTTCTACTGTGCAGGTGGAAAAAAAAAATAATGGGTCCAAGAAGAAAAAGCTACTAGTCAAAAGGTCATCCATTTAGCTAGTTATCTAGAAAGCCAGGAAACAACCCAGGTTTCTGTCTCCAAGGCTGGGACTTAAGGTAATAACCACAGTGTGAAACACAACACTGATTTTTTTTTTTAAGCATAGAAAACGTCATAAAAATTTAAAAATGCTAACCACGACCCTCTGACTCTGAGCCCCAGGGACCCACTACCATCCAGAGCTGGAAACAATACAGATATCAAGACTGCAGAAAACCCTCTATCACCTTGACTCACGTACACTTTGTGGTGCACAGGGCAACCAAGGCTCAGGGGGTGGCAATGGGCCACCTGAGGCCACAGGGCAGAGGCGGAGACTGGCCAGAATCTGGCCTCAAGCACTGTGGGTCTCCTGGTAACATATCTTCCCTGAATGGGACCCTCACCAGCCCCCTCTGCATGCCTTTCCCAGGACTCCTGGCTTTGTGTGGCTCTGCAGCAGCCTCCTAGTCCTGGCAGAGCCTTTCGAAGGACAGCTTTCACTCAGCACTGTCTCTCCCCAGGTCTGCGAGGCTTGATGATTGCTGTGATCATGGCTGCCCTCATGAGCTCACTCACCTCCATCTTCAACAGTAGTAGCACCCTGTTTGCCATAGACGTGTGGCAGCGCTTCCGCAAGCAGGCATCAGAGCAAGAGCTGATGGTGGTAGGCAGGTATGCCAACCTATACCTCAGAGCACCCTTTCTCTAAAGAACTCTCTCCCTCCTCTCCTTCCCGGATTCCTGGTCCCCGGCTAGCAGCCAGAACAGTGGGTTCTGTGGGACTTTGCATTAAGCCCCAGTCCAGAACAGGGCCACGTCTCCCCCTCTGGAACACCATGGGTGTGTGTTGGGGAGGGGGCTATCTATCCTCATCTGTTTAACTACCTTACGGATCTACAAAATCTCCGTGAGATGAGAATGCATGTAAATCAGTGCTTCTCCACCTTTCTAATGCTGCAACTCTTTAAATGCAGTTCCTCATGTTGTGGTGACGCCCAACCATCAAATTATTTTTGTTGCTACTACATAACTGTAATTTTGCTACTATTGTAAATCATAATGTAAGCATCTGATATGCAGGATACCTGATATATGACCCCTGTGAAAGGGTCATTCGTACCCCAAGGAGTTATGACCCACAAGTTGAGAACAACTGATATAAACCCTGACTGATAAAGTATGAGTGGAGGAACACCTCAACTCCCTGAAGTCTTTCGAGCCAGTTCTGGCTGTTCTCCCAGGACAATGAAAATTCTATTAATCCAACCCACCAGATATACCTAGAACATACATCATTTGCCGCATTATTGTATTGGGGACACACGGATTCATGATACAGGCCAGCTATCAGGGTATTCCCAGCTTACTATGAAGATGGAACTTGAAGAGACAGTGAAGAGTCTAAAAAATTTAAAATTTTTTTTAAAATTCTACAAGTTTTTTTATTTAGTTAATTATTCACTTTATATCTTAATTGTATCCCCCTCTCTCCTCTCCTCCTGGTCCCTCTCCTCTGTCCTTCCCTTATACCCAGGCCCTTTCCTGACCCTCAGAAAAGTGGAGACACCTCCCTCTTACAAACCTACTCCAGCACACTCAGGCTCATCAGGACTGTGTACTTCCTCTTTCACAGTGTCCATGCCGGGGTGAAGTGATCGAAAGGCATGCAACAGAGACCATGTCCGAGGCAGCCCCCACCCCTTTTCTGGGGGACCCACACAGAGGCTAAGCTGCCCATTGGGTACATCTGTGTAGGGGGCCTAGGTCCAGTCCATGCCTGGTCTTTGGTTGTTGCTTCAGTCTCGGGTTAGTTGGATCTGTTGGTCTTCTTGTGGAGCTCCTGTCCACCCCAGGTCCTTCTAGCCTTCCTTCCACTCTTCTACAAGGCTCCCTACACTCCACCCAATGTTTGGCTGTGAGTCTCTGTTTCTATTTTGATCCATTGCTAGGCAAAGCCTCTCAGAGGAGAGTCATACAAGGCTCCCATCTGCAAACAGAGTAGAGCATCATAGTGTCAGGGGTTGGCTGTCTCCCATGGAGTGGGTCTCATTTGGGCCAGGCATTGGCTGCACATTCCCTCAATCTCTGCTCTATCTTAATGCCTGCATACCCACGGTAAATTCTGGGTGGAAGTTTTTGTAGGAGTGTCGAAGTTCCCCTCTCTCCACAAGAAGTCCTGTCTGATTAGAGGGTGGCCTCTCCAGTCTCCATGAACCCCACCACCAGGAGTTTCAGCTAGAGTCAGCTCCATATCCTTCCAGGAGCCCACTCTGTTGTAGGTCTCCAGCCTATCTAAAAGGTGCCCCGCCCATGGTTGCTCTTCTCTCTGCAAGTCCATTCGCTCCTGCTCACCCTATATCTGACCTCCACTCAGTGTTCCCTCCTCTGTCCTGTTCCCTCTCTTCAACCACTTCCGCTGACTATTCTATTTCCTCTTCTGGGTGAAATTCGAGCATCCTCCCTGGTGTCCTCCTTGTTTCTTAGCTGCTTTGGGTCTGTGGATTGTGGTGTGGTTGTCCTGTACTAAATGGCTAATATCGGCACATAAGTGAGTACACGCCCTGTGTGTCTTTCTGGGTCTGAGTTACCTCACTCAGGATGATCTCTTCTGGGGCTGTCCAACTGCATGAAAATTTCGTAATTTCCTTGTTTTTGATGGCTGAGTAGTATTGCATTGTGTAAATGTACCACAGTTTCTTAGTCCATTCTTTGGTTGATGGACATCTGGGTTGTTGCCAGCTTCTGGCTATTACAAATGGAGCTGATATGAACATAGTTGATCACATATCCTTGTTGTGTGGTGGGGCATATTTTGGGAAAATGTCCAGGAGTGGTAAAGCTGGGTCTTGAGGTAGAGCTATACCAAATTTTCTGGGAATCCTCCAAACTGATTGAACAAGTTTGTACTCCCAGCAGCAAGGGAGGAGGGTTCCCATGAAGTGCAGTCTTGAGGGAGATATCCATAAAGAAGCTGTCCCCAAATGACCCACAAGCCTTGAACACCAAGTTATGAAAGCTGAACTTCACTTTAAACTTAGCAACTTATGGTTTTAAAAGCATAGCATAGTGGCAATCTTGTTATTATTATTCTCTATAGACTAAAGATTCAGAGTTTTCATGAGGGTAAGAGGCTGTTCCTGAAAGCTCTGCTTTACAATTCAAGTGTCTCTGGCTCTGGTTTTGAAACTCGAGAGCACATTCCTTCCTCTTTGGTGGTTAGATAGCTCCCTCTTCACAATCACTGTCTATTTCTCCAGGGTGTTTTGTTTCTGCTTATCTGCACACAGCCAGGCAGTGACCCAGCATCTAAGAGTAGGACAGGAGAGGAAATGGTCAGCAATAAGGCCACATGGGCAGTAACTGCCCTAACAGAGCTTGAGAAAGGGAAAGTGGGAGTGAAAACAGAGGAGAGGAAAAGTATTTCAGATTGCTCCTCTCTGCACATCAACAGGCCTATAGTTGTCAATTAGTGTGATTTTGGCTCCATCAGCTGGTCATATGCATTATTGCATCCAGCCCATCCATGAAAAGGCTTTTTTTTTTTTTTTGTTCCTGTATTTCGAAAATCAGATGAGACTGAGGGTCAGCTGAGAGGGGTCAAGAGACTCAGGGTCAATGTAAGGCTAAAGCCATTCTAGAGAAGCAAACCTCTCTAGACAGGACTGAGCGCAAAGAGGGAAAAAGGCATCCTCAGCAAAGACCTTTCAGTGCATGGTTCGGGGTGGAAGGTATGGGGATTCTTCCTCAGTAGTGTATATACCAAAAAAGCCATCCAATGTATGAATACAAACGTTTCTTGAACTCAGATGTTCCAACTTCGGGATTTTAAGTGTCTAAATTTCTGCACTTTAGTATTTGAGATTCTAACCCACAGACGTTTTCTGGCTCAGGGACCACGCATTTTCTCTCCCTTCCTGATTCCCACGCCCTGCTCACACGTGCACTCACAGCGCCCTGTCCTCTTCCCACAGGTTGTTCATAGTCTTCCTGGTAGTTGTCAGCATTCTCTGGATCCCCATCATCCAGAGCTCCAATAGCGGACAGCTCTTTGACTACATGCAATCTATCACCAGCTACCTAGCCCCACCCATCACGGCCCTCTTCCTGCTGGCCATCTTCTGCAAGAGGGTCACTGAGCCTGTGAGTGCAACACCCCTGCCCCTCCCCCCCCTTCATCACAGAGTCTGAGGTGAGGGTCACTTATTTTGGCCCAAGGTGAGAAGGCTCTTATCATCAAGCCAAGATTCTCTCATTTGCCCAGTAAACACTTAAGAAGTCAAATATGACTTCGCCAAGGATGTAATCGTTCATAAGGTTCCCATGGCTCTGCTGTCCTGAGCAGACAGGGAAGAAAGGTGATTAAATAAACAATAGCACAATAGCGTCAAAGGACAATGGCCTCTGGAAAAGTGAAGAGCCGGTAAGGAGACTCCTAGGAGAGGGGCAGGGAAGGCTTCCTGGGTGAAGTGGCATCTGAGATAATTTCTATAAGGCTCCGTTGTAGAGGAAGAGAGTGCTAGACAAGAGACCTGTGAAAGTGCGGGACAACCTGAGGTTCTGCGGTCTCTGCTCCATCACTGTGTCCTTCCGTGCATAAGCGAAGCAGCAGCAATGCGCCACGTTAACCTGGTGTGACCTCGTGGGGGGATGCGCAGGCAGCTGTCCTGTAACTGCATTGAATTCTGACGAGTGTGGGAGGGAGAGAGAGACGCCAGGATGGGAACCTTGGCTACCTCTCAGGACAGAAAGAAGACTCTGGCCCAAATGTGCCTGAAGCGCCTTGACAAGCAATAGGATGCTATCTATGTTCAGGACTCCACACAACCAGTGAGAGAACTCAAGGTCATGACAAAAGGCCATCACGGGAACTCTTCCCTTTGTGCCTCTCTAAGCAAAATGCCTGCTGCCTGAGAGAGCTGTTGTTGCTGATAACCACAGAGCACAGGAAGGGCACAGTGAATTCTGGGTGCTATTCCAAAGTGCCGAATTCAAGATCAATATCTCAGTGTGAAAATATCAGTCATCTGACAGGTTCATGCTGGGAACAGGTGTGGTTTAGGAACACAAGGGACTGTGATTAATGTGACGTCGGCGACATTATTTTATAAAAAGAGGGGAAGTTCTGCTTTGATTTCTAATTTTCATATCAGAATTTTGCCTACAGGCTCCCAGTGTTCCTGGCTTAACAGAAAAATGCACCTTGTTCTATTTGAATATTGAGTATCTGTGAACTTTCTAATCTTCCTTTTCATTGCACATAAGGAAACTCCAAGCCAGAGTGCTCACATCAATGGGCTCAAGTCAGCTCTGAAACCCATTTCATCTCAGTACAGTGCTCGGCCTGTCTTTTAAGTCAATACATAGAGCATAGATGGGAACTGGGTAAGATGGCTGGAATTTGCACTGTAATAAACTAGTAGGGGAGAGCTGTTAGGGCAGAGTGCTCAGCTTCCTAAGATCCCTCCCCAACCCTAGTCTCCCTGTCTGTGTCTCCACTCTCTCCTTAGGGTGCCTTCTGGGGCCTCATGCTTGGCCTCGTGGTGGGAATACTGCGTATGGTCCTGGAGTTCTCATACTCCACCCCAGCCTGTGGGGAGGAGGACCGCAGGCCGGCTGTTCTGAAGAACTTCCACTACCTGTACTTTGCCCTCCTCCTCTGCGGACTCACTGCTGTCATCATTGTCACAATCAGCTTCTTCACAGAGCCCATCCCTGATGAAAAGGCAAGTGGTGTGGTCCTCAGCTCCTAACGCCTGGAATCCCCCCGCCAGGTTTTATCCTGCCCAATTCTGGTCTCTCCTGCTGCCAAACAGACATCGTTTAGGGGACATGCTCACGAGTTTCCAGGTGAAAAGTAACTCATTCAGTTCCAAGTTACTCATTGTCTACCATCTATGTGTCAGGTGTGGTGCTGGGGTTACAGAAATAAGCAGTCTCTACCAATAACTGTCCCCGGAGAGCAGATGCCAACACAAACTGTTAACTTCACAGAGAGAAGGTATAGAAGGACTAGGCTTGATGAGAGGGGTTAAGCACGGGGATTCCAGGAGCAGGTGCATTGGCAACGTCTCTCTGGGTTGGATGTAGAGAAGAAATATGAGTGTGTGTGTGTGTGTGTGTGTGTGTGTGTGTGTGTGTGTGTGTGTG